AGACGCAGGTAGGGAGCCGTCCGCCCGGGCCGGGGCCACTCGCACGCCGCGCAGTCCGTCCCTGCAGAGCTGTCACCCCCTCCCCCGGTGTTCAGCGACTCGGTGGCGTTGCTGCAGCTCCAGCGGTGCTGTCCTCGTCCCTCAGAGAAAAGTAGATCGCTTTGAGTGACAGCATCCGCTGAAGCCATCCTGCGTTTGTAGTTCGAATCCACGGAACACCTGCAGCCCGAAGGATGGAAAGGGATTCGGATGCGTAACACCTTTGTGCTCTGCTTTCAGAAAACAGGACAGGCTGTGTCCTTTCATCGTCGTCAGAGTTTCCTGAAGGATTTTTTACACCGCAGGAGAGAAAGGATGGAGGGATCGTTATCTATTTCATAATTATACTTTACATGTTCTTGGCCGTGTCCATTGTGTGCGATGATTACTTCCTGCCTTCTCTAGAGATCATCAGTGAATGTAAGTGAACACCGTGATCTTTTCCCAGTAAAACTAAGCAGGTTGGAGTAGAACATTCTCTTTAAAAAAAGTTTCAAAGTCAGAGTGCTCAGGGGAAAAAAAACTAAAGGCATTTCAGTCTCCAGGCATAGACTTATCAATACAGTATTTAACTTGATACAATGTATCAATGGCTCATTGAAAACACATCCTGTGATTACACTCTGCACAGGCATTCACTTAAAGTGCTTTCCTTCTGCCTGGAGGAAAATCTTGAAACTTCTTCAGCATTCACTAAACCTACAATACAACTTTGGGATGAACAGCAATATGTCCAGGTTACTGATAAAACAGAGAAAAAAAAGGGGGAGGGGGGAGACAACACCAAACCAAGAAACCAAAAATCCTTATATTAAAACATGGGAATTAAGTACCTTGCTCGAGTTTCTGTGTTTCTTTCGAGGTAGTGAAGAACCATTAGGATGATCTACTGTTTCCATATTAACAGTATGACACAGGAAGGAAAGCAATACCATGGTTACAACCATTCTAAGAAATCTCATCAACCTGTAATAATTCCCCTGGGCTCAGCAGACCACTGAATTAAAGAGATGGTCTTGGCTTAAAGTTCAGCTTTTTATTGCCAAGAATTTAAAAATTCCTTAGGGAAACTCATCCCTGAACACCGGAAAACATTCTCCAGACCAGACCACTTAAAGAAAACCTAAGTTTAAACATTGCTGTAGGGCTAAATTTTTTTTTTTATTGATGATAAATAAGCATTTGTCAGACTTTTTCCATAGTTAGCCATAAGTCCCTGTTCTTAGTGTGCAGAACTTGATCTACAGAGTGAGCTGCATTTCAGAAATGGTCAACTTACCAGAACAAAAATCTCATTTCATTCAAGCAAGACACAGGCTCTTACACTGTCCATACGAAGTGAAAATTTGATTTTAAGATCATGGCACTGGTTTGAATTTAAATAGTATTTCTGGTATGTGAAGACACAGCAGCACAGATTTCCCTGGAAGATAGATAGACTTGACATGGATCATGTAACAATATCACACTAGAGTCCAAGGAATTTCCCCACAATTATTATCCACATGAAACAGAGTTAAAGCCTGCATACTTATGCCTATTTCACATTTTAAGATCACACTTAAATCTCCTGTATTATCAATACTTCTTTCCTGGTATTTAATTTGTCATAAAGTCAGAAATAAATTGGTCCAATAAATAGGGCTATCTTCTCAATATATTATTTTGCCAACTTCAAAAAAATGTATTAACTATGAAAGTAAGCAAAGTTCATTCATTAAAATGTAGTAGCTTCTAATGTTATATACTGATGCAAGTTAAAGGGTACGGACCACTGAAGTATTTAATCAACTCTTTTGCTCTATCTTCAGGCCTTGGCCTCTCTCAGGATGTTGCTGGAGCAACTTTTATGGCTGCTGGAAGCTCTGCTCCCGAGCTCGTTACTGCTTTTCTAGGTAAGAGACACATGCTTTGACTCCTCAGACTCTACAATTCTTTTCCTTGCATGCCAAACTGAAACCTACCAGAGAGTAATTTTCCTCATAGGCGTCTTCATGACAAAGGGAGATATTGGCGTCAGCACCATCCTTGGATCAGCAATCTATAATCTTCTTGGTATTTCTGCAGCCTGCGGGCTGTTTTCCAGTGTGGTATGTAGCAACTTTGATAGTTCTGCTCCTAAGAGCCAAATGGTTATCCTTTCTGATTTGCCAACAAAAGCCAAGAGAGACTTACTATGACAACTGCCAAGTTTATTATTTAGTAGCAAAACCAGCATGTAATCAGTTTTAAGATAACTTGCTATGAAAGTTTTTAAAAACACTAAGTTTAATATCATACTTAAGTCATTCCTAAGAATCTTAAATTTTTACATAATATAGAAACAACATATTGATGCAGCATTTACAGCACTTAGTGAAAGTATTACAGACAAGTTTAAGAAAAGTAAATGAATCTGTGATCTGCAGGTTTCGAGGCTATCCTGTTGGCCACTGCTTAGAGACTGTCTGGCATATACAATCAGTGTAGCAGCTGTCCTTGCGATGATATCTGACAACAGAATTTATTGGTAAGAACACAAGTAGTGTTTAATTCAGGATGATGAGATTAGTGAGTGTTTTGAAAAACGAACAAACGGCCCAACCCCCGAACTTCCAGTAGCCTCAACTGCCTTTCACTAGCAGAAATAAACATCCTATTGGTTTAAAAAAAAAATGTAGAAAGTCATAATGTTTCTAAAGATTATTACCTAAACATCCAAACCTTTCATATTTATAGTTTGATCTGCATAGGTTTGTCTGTACAGACTTCACAAATTCTGTAACTGTTTTTGCATAACAATTACTCTTCACAGTTTACTCCTTTTGAGCCTTCTGTTTGATTACTTGACTGTTAAGAAAAATGTCTGCCACAAGCAGATCATGAGCTTCTGATGTTTTAACTCTCTTCCACCAACACTAAAACTCCTGTTGCCTCAACAAGTCTGTCAGGTCCAGCACCAAGTCTCTGAAGTTTCCAACTCAAAATAGCACATACTGCCCCTGTCTAACCATCACATGAAGACAGTTTCGCAAACATCAGTAAGAGGCTCAATCAGCAAGATCCCCTAGAAAATATGCAGCTATACAATACACAAACAACGTTCTGCAGGGGAGGGCCATTAGTCAAACTGCAGAAGGATGTGGGGATACTCATGTACTTCCATGACACCCAGCCATACAACTGCAAATAGATGCTTTTGTGTGTTTTCCTTTTGTAAATGTTCTCTCTCCTTACACCAGCCATTTCAACAAGTTAAAGAGGGGTGTGTGGGGGGGGGTGTTATAGTACATGTTATGTAGTATCTGTTTTTCATTCTAGGTATGAAAGTGCAACCTTATTATTAGTATATGGGTGCTATATTCTGGTGCTCTGTTTTGACATTAAAATCAACCAGTACCTCATGAAAAAGTTCAGTCCCTGCTGTACATGTTTCACAAAAGCTTTGGAAGAGAGTGCTGAGCAGCAGCCACTAGTTGGATGGAGAGAAGAGAGTGGACCTTTAATTTGTCAACAGTCAAGAACAGATAGTGGAATTTTTCAAGATGAGCTGGACTACTCTCAACTTTCAACAAGCTTGCATGGGCTGGATGAAATCTCTGAAGGTATAAGTATTACTATAGTTGTCTCCAGCACTCTGCATGCCAATCTGCATCAGTTCTAATAAAGAGTAGATTCTGAAATGTTATTAAGATTTTGTTCACAAAGGAACTCCAGCATAGTATTTAAGTAAATCACTCTTCTTCCCTGCAACATAAGCAAAATCAGAATGGTGGTACTTCTATGAAGTTAGTTGCTAGAGGAATGCTAGGATAGTAGCTCGTGTGTGTCATACTAGAAGAGCAGACTTGAGTCGGTCTTTGCTGCACACGTTTGAAACTTCCCACCAAGGCTGCTTGTAAAATGCACTGTCAGCTGAAAGAGCCCCGGTACTGTACTGATAGATACTGTCTTCTTATGACAACAGCAGGTTCAGAGCCCAAAACACATGTGATAGCAGAAGGAAAGGAATAGTTATGGTGTGGCCACAGATTATCAGTTCCTCTTCACATGGGCAAAAAGCAGCAGTTCGTACTTACTCTTGGTAAACATTTTGTGTAAACCTTTACAGAAAATTTCATTTTTCATCAACTTTACTTCTCTCCTAGTGACATGGTAATAAACAGCATTTAATTTCACAGTTGTCCAATGTGATGTAGGTACTGGGTAAAATTACAGTTAGAACTTAAGTATTTTTTACCTTTTTTCAGTATTCTCACATGTAGAGGCCAGTAGTATGACTGTAGACTATGGAATCAAACTTAATGCTACAATTTAAAATTGTTAACTTTTTCTTTAACAGATCACCCAAGTGTCTTCACTATGCCTGAAGCAGATATGAAGAGAATTTTGTGGGTGTTATCCCTTCCTATTATTACACTACTCTATTTGACTATACCAGATTGCAGAAAACCGTTTTGGAGGAACTGGTTCATGGTGACATTTTTAGTTTCAGCAGCGTGGATTTCTGCAATAACTTATGTTCTTGTATGGATGGTAACAATAGCAGGTAGGTACCTAAAGTGCTGCTGCTGTACAGAGTTAGCCAATCAGGAATCACTGAAAAAAAAGTTTTCTTCCTCTGAAGAATTTTCCCTCCCACAATTAATGGTCAGTTTAGCAAGACATACTTTGCTGTAAAACACAAAACAAACAAAACCAACAAAAACTTATATTTGACTGCTTAGTTTGCCACCTTCTTTCATCTAATTAAAACCACTTCAGAGTTTAGCTGCTTCAGACTGCTAACCATCACATGAATGAGAATTTGTTTACATAGCCACAAAAACCAGCCTATATTTAAAAGAGTTACATTACAGTTTCACAAAGTGAAACCATTAGATACACAGAAATAAACTCAGCAAGCTGAAGTCTGACAAACATGAAATCCACCAAAATGGGAATTAAAAATTCAGGGTTCTGCAAAAAATCCTTTTCGTCTATACCTATATTTTTCTTGAACACTATAGTAAGAGATTTGGCATTAAATTAACTGCCAAAAAAATCCCCTATTTTATTCTTGGGGGAGGGGGAGCGTAGGTATGCCTCTTATGAATCTGCATCATAAAGTGAAGCAGTAGAAGAACTGCATTTAAGTGAGAGAAGGGGTATGAACTTATTTGTAAAAACATTGTCTTAAAAATTATCTCAGCTTGAGAAAAATAGTTTTTCCTTTTAAGAACAAGTAGAAGACAAATTTTTAAACAAGAAAGTAATGCTACAAACCTTGCCATTTCTAAATTTCAACTCACTAATCCTACTTAGGTATTCTGCTAGTTCAGCATCCCAAACTTGTTTTCAACTTGTGTTTAATAAACACCTCCTTGTTCAGTGCAGAAAGAGACCTATACATCTGGTAAACCTTTGAGAAATTACTAGTAGATTGCTGGATATAACACCCACCAGATTCACCCCTTGGTCAAATAATTTTCCACTTGTATCTAAGGAGTAAGGGTCTGAATGCTAGAAGCCTTTGAAACAGGATTCAGATGAAAGTGTCTGCTGCTCTACTAGACAAAGCACTAATTCACATGGAACCAGGTTCACTGGAGATTTAAATAGTGTATTACTGTTAACCCACTTTGAAAAGTCATCACAAGCAGTATTGGGGTCTACTTCTAGGTCAAGTATGTTTTATTTACATGCTAAAACTCTAAAAATAACACGTGTTATATTCAAGTCCAGGTTCTTTTATGAAGAGTGACTCAAAGATTCTATCCTTGCATAAAAAGCCTATCAGAATGTCACAGAGGTATCGTAGCCAGGGACTAAATTTTTATGGTCAAGAACAAACCTAACTTAGTACATCTTTTCATTGCTAGCAAAGAAAACTTGACTACTTATAGCAAGATACCGCTACTGATAGACAAAATTAACTAAATGCTAGAAAAATAACACATTCTCTATCATCAGATGCCATAACAAAAAAACACTACACATTAAATAGAAGATAAATCTACCTAGTAAAAAGAAAAATGATATTCACCTGAGTTTAGATTCTATCTTAACCTTCAGAGAGCTAGAAATTACTGTTGGGTACACAAGGCTGGTTCATTCATATTTCACCTTGTTTTGCTTGGCATGAACTCTTATTTTCCAGCCTGGATGGTTTATAAAAGCTGATCTTAGTGGTCCCTCATCCTACAAATCTCTTGCATTAGGAGTGATAGAAGAATGAATACTAGTACAAATTCTGCAGCATGTTGTTATCAGTCCCCTTGAACCAACAGACAGTTTCAAACATAAGTTTTCAAATATAATGCTGACCTAGCTTACAGAGTACTGTCTCTTATATTAAGAAAACTGTTCTTACTAGTATCCAAATTATGCAAGTAAGAATTCAGATTTCAGAAAAATAAAAATATTAAGACACTTTTTAGTGGTAAAAAAGTTTAAGAAAACAGATTACTTAAGAGTTTGAATAGAGGTATCAAATAACTTCAGTATATTGATGCTTGTGAACAGTACAACTGCTAAAACAGGTCTGAAGATCTGAATCTGTATTCTATGTGAGAAATTAATATGCTTACAGGAAATGTTTGGCTAAAAAAAAAAAGTGGGGAAAATTAAGCTGCTGGTTTAGTAACAACTTAAAACTTTTCTAATTTAAACCAGTATTTCCCTAACGACACTCACACTTGTAAATAATTACTTGTACTTACAAGTCATATAAAAAAATCCGCATTTTTATTCTTCCAAATCCTACAAAAGAACTTTCTAATTGGAGTGAAATAGTAAAGTCATGCAGTTGAGACAGTATTGTAGTAGTGATCTTAATGACCCTCCTCCACAAGGAAATTTCTGTGCTTTTATTTCCTCCCCCTTTAAAGAGTGGACGATAAGTTATTGCTTCATGAGACATTTGAGCACAAACAATGAGATGCTCAAAACCATAGAAGACTAGTACACCTTCCAGAAGTTAAGAGAAAAAAAAGACTAAATTGTTAAGATACCTAAACTTGTATTGTATCTGAAAGAAAATTCATAATGGTATTATCTTGACCACTGGAGACATCCCACTCAGGTTTTTGAGAAAAAACTGAACTAAGATGGTTATTATATGACAATTCCTTTTTTTCTTTGATTGAAGAACAAGGATAGGATGGGATTTCTTATTGTTGTTCTTAACTACTTCATGGTTCAGTCACTTCCTTTTTATTCCTATTTATAACTGACAGATTCCTTTTGAAATTACAGTATGATTACCAATCCCTTCTCCATCAAACAAAGTCCAAAGCAATTTCTTTGGATAAATTTAAAAATCACATTTGCATTTTCTACCATTATTTATCAACTGCAGGTGAAACACTGGGAATTCCAGAGTCAATAATGGGTCTGACATTACTAGCAGCAGGAACAAGTTTACCAGATACAGTTGCAAGTGTGCTGGTGGCTCGTAAAGGTAAAGATTTTAGTATTCAGGCTCATTCCAATGAATGTGTTTAAAAGGTACTATGAAAAAAAAAAAAAACATTTCCAGAAATTCAAGGAGTAACTTCAAATTTTTTGCTCCAGATTCTAGAGCTTAAGTTTACTACTAATAAATAAATAGCTTACCTGAAGAAGCTGTGGCTCAGACATTTTAAAACCTCTCAACAGTATCTCAAAGAAGTATTCTAGATTGGTTTCATTTGTTGTTGATCAAGTGTTAACGGTTTTACTGCAAAACACAACTGTAGGTCTTGGTATTTTAAACATAACTGGGTTTTACAGTAGCCTGCCTAGCTTATTTTAAGTGCAACTGTGCAGATGCTGGTGATTTAGGGAGACTTTTTTTTTTTTGTATGCTTGTGATACCCAAAATCATGTTCTGTAGAATCATGACTATCGTTCTTGAAATGAAAAGTCTGAAAAGGATGCTCTGGGAGAAACTGAGGGCTGACAGTCTGTTCCTCCAAAACAGTTTGGCAATTTCATAAAATACAATTAGACTTATTTGTATTTCTTCTTTTACAGGAAATGGAGATATGGCGATGTCTAACATTGTAGGATCCAACGTATTTGATATGCTCTGCTTGGGAATACCCTGGTTTATAAAAACAGCCTTCATAAATACATCAGGACCCATAGAAGTGAACAGCAATGGTTTGACATACACAGCCATTTCTCTCATCTGTTCTGTGGTTTTTATTTTTCTGGCAGTTCACTTGAATGGCTGGAAAATAGATAAAAAATTTGGAGTAATTTCTCTTGTACTGTACTTAGTATGTACTACAGTATCAATTTTATATGAACTTGGCATCATAGGGAACAATCCTACAAGGGTCTGTGGTAACTAGTTTTAATCAGTGATTATGCTGATGAAAAGAATAAAAGCAGGAGAGAAAGGTCTGTTTCTTCATTTAGTCAAAATAAAAAAAATAAACTCAGAACTCCCATTGGGCTCTAACTCTTATTTACAGAACTAAGTCATGTCATTAAAGTAATATTAATTAGAAGAAAAACATCACAGCCTCATTGGAGCCCTTTCTTTTAGAGTCAAGAATTACAGTATGACTACAACGCACATATAAAACTGAAATTCTGAAAAAAAGACATCTAACTTTTACAATACAATGTTGATACACTGAGGAGGGAAACAAACAAAAAAAAAAAAACAAAACACAAAGCTGAAACACTAAACAAATCCCACTATGCAATCTTGAGATTAACAGAGAAAATGGCTTATTTTATTAAAAACAGTATAACCATTCATTTAAACTGAATGACTAGAGACACTTGGCCTAATTTTCCAAAGGTGCTGAGCATCCAAAGCTCCAGTGGTCTACAGGGACCTGCAGGTGCTCAGTGCCTCTAAAAAAAACAACAAAAATCAGGCAAATTGTCTTTAAAAACCAAACATAGTAAGATTCAGTTAACAAGTGTCACAGTATATTAAACACTATACTGTTAAAGGCTGGTGGGATTTAAAAGTTCCTTTTTACAGCTTTTGTAAGCATACAATGTTACTAAAAATTACTTACTAGGATAAAGAAGCTAAACAGACATAGGAATGTTCCTGAACACACAGTTTTAAATTATGCATTGCGATCCAAGCGTACATCAATTTCTCTGCCACTGATTTTTATGCCGTTCATTATCCTACAGGCCTTTTCAGCAGATTCTGGTGAGTCAAATCTGACTGTTCCACAGCCCTTTGATTTTCCATTCTCCATTTTTATTTCTGCAAACATTACATGACCTGAATAAATAAGTTAAACAGCAGTTATTTCAAGTCTTCAGCTTACTAAGAACTCATCAGAAGTGATAAAAAAGCATTTTAAAATAAGTTCTAGGAAGACACATGAAATTAGCACTTCCATACCGATTCACTCATTCAAGGAAGGTGATCCAGGTCAAAACAGAAGTTCAGAATCCAAATTAAGGTCTAGTTTCAAATCTTTCTTTCACACTAGTGTAAGATGAAGTACGCCTGTATTTGACCTCAATTTTGAAACAAAATGCCCTATAAAGCTATGGGAAAGGTTTGTGTTTCCTTTACTGACACTGCCAAAAGCGTGACTACTGACAGGCATTAACTAAACTACAGTTCAGTCGAGTCCACCATGTTCATCACAGCAACATATCAGGCAATCAGAACAACCAGGCAATTTTATAAGGAAGCTGCAGAGCAAAATTGGAGCCTTTAAAACAGTAAAGTTCTCAGGTTAGGAGTAGTGGAAGAGTAGCATGCGCTATTCAATTCCTGCAGTGTTTTCTTGAGGCTGGACATTCAACTCAGGAGGCAACATTTTTATGTAGATGTCTTGGTACCTCAGAGAATGTTCAATGCCTGAGGCTATTAAGTTTTTGCATATGATTATCTTATAGCACACCACTCCTAAGCCCACAAATGCCACCAGGAACAAGAAACTTTTCCCTAAAATACAGGGCTTTTTATTTGTAAATATCTTATCATAGAAGACTGGCCTTTCATTGAAAGAAATTGAACGTATGGAGACATGCTCTTTATATTTCCTTCTGATACAAGCATGAATACAATCTGCTGCTTATTTGTGTTTATAGTTCTTAAAAACAATTCAACTTAATTACTACATCTGTTAGCTATTGAGGAGATAATGGGGGAAAAAGATATTAAAAAAAAAATCTCAGCTATCTGTAAGTTGCTGAGTTGTTAATGCTTAAAAACAAAAAGGGAACCTCTTCTGCTATATCTTCCAGCTACATACAAAATGTGAACACCTGAAAATTTTTCATAGTTGAACTGCAAGTTCTCATTTATATCAAGTCTGCAAATCACTGTATGAAAACTGTCTTATGTATCAGTAGTATGTTTTAAATTGTGTTTTCTGTCTCTCCAAAATAAGAAAAGCCATCCTGTAACTCAGTTAAAGCTTTCCATTCTGGAAGTGTGTTTTTGAAACAAATTATGCATTTCTAAACCCAAGCACCGTTGTTTTTTTATTTATTTATTTATTTATTTTTATTTATTCACTTCTGTGAAAAGACAACTTTTCTGAATTAGATAAAAAGAATTACTGGATTTTTGTAGTAATTCTTTATATTACATTAAAAAAGGGCCTTTATTTCTTAAAAAAAGGGGAAGCATTACTGCCTACAAATATGCAAATTGGAATAATCTATTTGCATAAAAAACAAATCTGCCACTTCAGCAAAATTACTAACTCTGATTTTGAAGCACCATTTCTGAAAGTAATGCACAGCCTGGACTAACCCAGGTCCCTACTTATGTGTTCCTGTGTGACCTGCCCTAGATTAGATGGTCCTGCTCTGGCAGGGGGTTGGACTTGATTTCTGGAGGTCCCTTCCAACCCCTAACAGTCTGTGATTCTGTGATTTGTCTCAAAATAAATGCTATATTATATATACCGTGTTGGCCAGAGAATACATAGTATCTGCTTCAAAAAAATAATTTTATTAATGGAATCGGTTGAAGTTTATACCAGATGAGCACTCAGAGCCAACACAGCCCATACTGTACCTTGGTCTCATATGTTACTTCATGCCTAGAAATTATTTATATAACTTGGGAAAGGTGAGGGAAGTAAGAAAGATTAGGCTAGACAGACTCTTCTTCAGGATAAGGCAACCACCTTGTCTTCCTGTCCTTACCTAATGAACACCATATAAAACATGAAGCCGATGGAGCTGAGCAGGGAAAGGACTCATACTTACCACATTGACTGAATTTCTCCTTCAGCTTCTGCCAGGTCAAGTCAAAAGGAAGCTAGAATAAAAAAGCATTAATAATAAAATATTACAAAGAAAAAAAAAGAGCTTATTGTCAAATGTGCAATCAAATTTATTTTGTGCACACAAAATAAGCACATGGTTTCTACGTATTCAAATGCTTACATTTCTCACAAATATCTGGTTGCCTTTAGAGCCTAATCTCTCTCTCATGCCACTTCCCATTGGGCCAGGCACAAACCCTCGCTCGATATCGATGTTCCTGTCCAGGGCTCCACCCATAGCTGGTCCCATTCGGTCGAAGCCAGAGCTCATCCGATCCATCCCCATTCCCATTCCTCCAGCCATACTGTTCATACCACCCATTCCACCACCTACACAGAGGGAAAAAAAAAAAAAAAAGATAATATAAAGATCTATTTTTATTAATAAATGTAAAAGCATTTAATTAAAAAAATATTATTCTGTATAAGGAAAAAATTAATAAAACTGCTGCAGTACAAGACAAATTCATACATGCACAGTGATTTATCATGTAGCATGCCTTTTAAGTCAAAGTATTAGAAGATATGAAGTGTCAGTGCTAAAATAAAAAGTAAAAACCAAACTGCATCAAGCTATTAGTCACACCATCTAATGTAGTAAAATGTTGGAACACAAGAAGAATTAAGATTTAAAAGCTATCCAGTTTAATTAATAAAAATCTGATATCCTAAAAAAGATAAAGGAAATCGCTCTGGCAATGTTAAGACACAGATAATTTGACCATATACACTATTGTTTATTTTGCTTCCTGCATTCACATTCAGCTTTACTTCATGCAGCCACACTTACTGACACAACCTCCTAGAGAAAGCATATTTTGGAGAGAACAGATGTTACTGCAAGTGCTGTGAAGAGCATGGATTTTCCTATGATACATGCAATGAAATAGATTAATGTCTATTACATAAAGAACTAAGATCAATGGCATTCAAATATCCCATTATAATCTTTCTGGATTTATAATTAAAAATTAATGCAAAGCAAAAACTATCAAGATCATTCATGAGGGATCTTCTCTTTAAGCCTTACGCTTCTCAAGACTGCCACCAGCAAGCTTTTAGTTTCTCATCTGCTCTAGACTGAGGAACTCACATTTGCTGTAATGCAAGTTCAGTTCTGGAGCTCTACACAAAATAAAACTGAGTGATAAGGTAAAATTCAAAACTAAATTTTTATTTCACTGACAAGAGATTACTGAAGTTGAGCTTCTTGAAATTCAAAAAAATAACTCTGGCTATTTGTCTTTTTTTATAAGTTTACTTGAATCACTTCTCCCTCCAAACCACAAGTTAAAACCATTTCAAAGCTAAGAGTAAGGTGAAGACTATTAGCAAGTTTTCCTCCAAACTCTTACCTCAACAGAACAGCTTAAAAACGATTAGATTTGCAGTCACATGCAAAAGAACTCTACTTCTTCCAACACTGGCAAGATGTTACACAATGAAAACCTTTGATACAATTATGTGTACAGCATATTACATTGCCTATGCAATTTACACTCTACTGAAACAAGTTAACCTACTCATTCCAGATCTTACTGGCCCCATGCTAGGTGCTCCCATTCCTCCTGCAAAAACACCAATCATTGCACCACCTAAAGAGAAAAAAAATAACCAGGTGACATTCTGAAACCGCCAACTAGTCACAACAACACAACACACTGATCTCAATGTTACCTGGCAATTCTTTTCTACAGAACACAAACCTATGCCTTTATTATTTAAACCAAAGAGGAAACATCCAGTAAGCAACATTAGTTTCTGCTTTTCTATTATGGGACTGAAGTGACCCCAGTTTCTTCCTATCTTTTCTTGCTAGCAGCACAAACATCTTAGAACTAAATGAGCCACTTCCCACATTGGGAAGAACAGCCTCCACACTTAAGTATGCATCTTACTTGAACTTCATAGTACAGGAATGTCCTAGTTTCACCCATTTTTAAGAAAACAACCCAAAAACTAGGTGCAGCTCTCCCAATGTTGTTCTTTACTGCATATGAAGACACAACCTTCTAGAGAAAGCATATTTTGGAGAGAACAGATGTTACTGCAAGTGCAGTAATCATGGATTCAAATTCATGGAATTTGGTGGGAAAAAGTGAGAAAGAAAAGGAACCTATACATAGTAAAAGCTATTTGGCAGAACCATGAAATCTCCAGAATGGTATCAGAGACTGATTCTAGAGTGGAGTAAAAATAATTCTTTTCACTGAAGTGCTAATATTCAGGAAAGTAATCCCAAGGGAGCTTCTAGAACTGCAGAAACTCAAAAGTTACATTCCTGTCACTGCAGAACAGAGTGAAACAGTCAGATGCATTTTTCTTGCTTGACTTTCATACCAAAAAGAAACAACTCAGTTTTTACTTACGGCAAAATAGATCAGTAACTGTTGTCTTTAGGCTAGATGCCACTGTTTTAATATCTAAAAAAAGTCATTGCTGAGTCTTCCATTAGATTCATTTTCTCCACAGAGTTCAAAACAGCAACAATTGTTCCCTCCCAGTCTCTTGTGGGAAATATTTATCTCCTCTCAGACAACAGGCTGTCATAGCCATACCAAGATCTCTACAAATATGGACTAGTCTGTTAAAAAAACACTACTGATTTTCAACAGCAACAGGATTACTCCCAGTACTTCAGCCAGCAGTGTGTGTATGAGGAAGCTTTTAATACTTAGACAAGAGTCTTGCAATTCAACAGCAAGTCAAATTTTGAGACTGCTGTCAACATGGCTGTTTTCACCCTTAAAAAGAACTGTAAGAAGGAAAAGAAAAGAATCCCTACTTATCCAGAGCTAGAAAACTTTATTTGTGAATACATCAGTTACACCCACTACTTTAAAAGAGGAAAAAAATAAAGTCTCCCTAATAATCTAAAATGCACTTAAAAACCCAAAAAAGCTCATGAAGTCCTAATAAAGAAGACTTCAGCTGTTTCTGACTTTATAGACATCCTCTACCTGTACTTCTCCCCCCACTGGCTTTTCAACAACAAAAAAGTTACACGCTTGGATATGCTCTATGACACATCCTTTGATTGTTTGGATAGTTCCCGATTTTGGCAATGTAAATATCTCCAACAATTCTGCTGCAAATCAAACATCCTCATTTTCACTAATTGATGCTATAGCCAAATTAAAGAGAGTCTTCCACTGTCATCCTTGGAACTAAAGCCAAATGCACTCATAGCATTTCCTTTTAAGATACCACTAACCTAAATATTTTAACAGGAGTACATTAGGGTCTTCCCTGATTAAACACGGTATCTATTAACTATTATATTTGTAAATCCCTACAAGTTCTATTATTTAAGAATAAATTGGGAAACTCTTATCTTGGTTCTCAGACCAGTATTTAACTAGTAAGATTGCTGACAGGTTTTAAGTTGTAGCTTGCTGGATCTACTGAAAGAATGATAGCCCACATCAGTTTTACCAAGTGCCCATGTTCATGTATTTCAAAACCAATGTGTGTTACCAGAAGACTCAGAACCCTATTGCTTGCATGAACATTTATAACTGAAATGGCTTTGTTTTTTCCATCAGGAAATATAAGTTCATGCTGTGTTGCAAGTAGTTAGAGTTGAAGCATACATTTGATTTCTAAGACCATAATGCCAAGACATTAAAACTAACTCAATTGACAAGCTTTTTACGTTCTTATCACTTCTACAGAACTACGAGGGCTCAGAGAGAAACACACAAGAGTTATTCTTGTTATAACTTCCCCAAATTAAAAAAAAAAAAAAAGGAAACACCAACTTTTAGACCAGATTAACCTCATGCTCTTAGAAGCTCTTCTCTTTCACAGTGGGGACTTGAGAGGGGAAAAGGGAGAAAAATGAGGAGGGGGAAGAAAATCTGTCTCTAAAAGGCATTCATCCAGGTAACAGTATAGTAATGAAGTGCAAGAAGACTTTACTGTTAAGCACTTCCAGGCTTCTTAAAATAGAGAAGTATCTCATTGGAGGGAGCTCAAAAGCAACAAAATGAACTCTGTCAACAAGATATCATCTATAAACAAAACAAAGCTGTCTCAGTTACAGCAGAGGCCAATAAATCACATTTTGAGCTACTTGAGCTCAGAAGGCAGGGAGGAAACAGAGCACCATAATTCACCGGTTCTATCCAATTCTGCCTGACTTGCAGTAAAACAGTTTTCCAGCATGCATTTGCAAAAGCAGGCTCCTGAAAGTTACAAAGGTGGTACACAGGCAGCTTGCTCAGGATTACCAGAAGAATATACTTTAATACCCCCCAAAATTAATATTTCATAAAGTTAGCAGTATAAAGCTAAGTGCTTTCCTCTATTTTTCACTATTTTGTTTATATATTTTCACTATTTTGTTTGTTTTACAGGTAAAAAAAAACCCTACATGTTAACCTCTGTCCCAACACTAGCGATAATAAACACTCAAAATACATCCTTCAGTAATGACTTGTGGAGAGGGGACAGAGGAAGATGATGAAATGAAACTAGGTCTCTTCTCTTGCAATATAACTCTTCCACAGGCAACTTAACAGTGTCCATACCCATCCTTCCAAAAGAATCTCCAAAACCACGGTTCAATGCCATCTCACTACGACCAAAATCTCTGTCCATGTTTCCTCCCATTCCACCACGGAACATGTCTGTAGAGAACAAAGCAAAAAAAGGCAGAAATATTCTGTTATATACCTAAGCTGATGTTCATACAACACTTGTTTCACAGATGCTTGTTTAAATAGGTTTAAAACACAAATCAGAAGCACCTAAATACTTAAATCCTATGCCAGTTCCTCTCTCTTCATTCATGACTTCAGAGGAAATACAGTTAGTCACATCTACATTACCCACCCCTAAAGGAAAAGCTGTTAATAAATATTAGCAATTTTAATAAGCATACGGGAACAAGTGTTCACCTACCTCCCATTCGGCTGACTCCAAATCCTCCCATATTAGGCATTCCTTCCACCCCACGAAATCCAGCAAGTCCTGCAAAATAAGGAAGAGTGTTTCCTACACAATATTAAAAAACCTGCTTAACACAAAGAACTTCACTGCACGTACCGCCTCCCATTCTGTTAATTCCGCCAAATCCTGGGCCGTCTATTCCCATACCTTGAAACCAAAAACACAAACACCATTTAGAAAACAGGTAAGACCCCAACGGATTTGAAAAGTGCAGAGACAGTTAATATCTCAAAAGCACATGGCACGAAGCTTGCTTTATCAAGAGTATGCCATTCTTCCAAACACAGAAATGATAATTTTAAACTCGAAAATGAGGAACACAGGTTTACCTCCTGGGCCCATGCTCCCCATTCCACCACCCATGCTCAACTGTGTTGCACTGATGGGCTGTCCACCTGGCCCAAGTCCCATACCAATGCCACCAAGTACACCTTGAAAAAAAAAAAAAAAAAAATCATCACCACAAGGAAAGACTTTCTTCTGCTACCTTAAAGAGACCACAGTAAACAGAAATACTACTAAACTGTTCCAAGACTCTATATCAACATATATGAAATGCAAGTAGAAAACAGTGTGCACTCACGAGGTAATTGTGAGGTTTTGCTGTCTGACACACGGAAATCTTCATGAGGAACTGATTTGTCATCCTGATAGAAGACAAGGATGTTATGCTATGATCCTTTCACCGTTTTGGCATAGACATAAGGTAGAAAGAATTGTAAGCAGCTTACCATTTTTACATGCATGGGTCTATCAAACAGGAACTGTCCATTGAACATAGCTGAAGAAATGCAAGTCAAGGAAACTAACTACAGAAGAATCACTGTAATTACTTCTTTTATTTCTCTGAAGAGACCGTACAAGCTTTTAGACACACAAAAGTTAAGTTTCACACGTGACCCTCCAGCATATTTTAAGCTTTAACATTAGTGTTTTAGGTTCTAGCAGTAAACTCAAGTCAGTATTAAAAACGTAACCTGCACGGTATTACACTCTAGTCTCTACATGCTAGCCCCAAGGAAAACAAGCACCATTTGCAAAACAACACTATGAGAAGCTTTTAAAGACACATTTGATCAACTATTTTTCAAAACCAAGGATACATATTGCCTGAACAGCTTCAATTGCTTGTTCAAAAGTAACTGTTCCCATTCCTCGACTCTTGCCATCTTTATCTTCTTTGATGTCTGCACGCTTCACAGTTCCAGCAATGCTGAATACCTCCTTCAGTTTCTTCCAGCCAACTTTAAAGTCAAGCTTACATACAGAAGAAATACATTAGTGATTTCAGTGCATATTTCTTTCTGCCATTATTTTTGGAAGAGATTTTCTGCATGGTTGTAACTCCTCAGCTTCACAAAATGTTTGGTAAATATAAATAGCCAGGTTTTTTTTGTAATATACACACCATGACTGAGTAGAGAATTATCAACTCAAAGCAACAATTTACACTACATATACATATTTACTTTAATTAACATAGTAACATTGAGAAATGGATGGGTTCTCATCAAGAGCAGCTGTACTCCCACAAGTTCTCTTGCAGACATAACAGTCTTTTTGCAAGTAATGAACTTATGCAGTAAACACCTCCAACAAGTATAAGTTTAAGTTAGTCTTAAGTAACTAGCAAAATAAACTGAAGTGTACATTTAATTAAAAAAAGAAAGGCAACTGTAAATAGCTAACAAGTGTAAAATATTTTTTTTAATCAATAGATGACTATGCAATAATTCTAAGTGGATGTCAGCCTGAAAAGTTCAACCTATTTTTCACATCCAAAATCTGGATACTTATCCAGCATTTTTAATTGAATACACTAATTGTGAAATAACATTTCAAATTTCCTCTTTATATTAAAACTGAGTTATGCAGGAACATAAGATGTTTTACAATGATCAAATATTACAGTTATAAAACACAGTTTTAAACTTACATTAGCAACAAAAATAGTGGACCCAAGCCTGCCTGCCTGCAAATTACTGATAACCTCAGGAGGAATATTTGGATTATTAAGAATAGAAGGTGGTAAATTCATTATTCCAGGTGCCACATCAGGTCCGTGTCCTCCTGGAAACTGTCCTCCTCCACGCTGTAATGCCCTACGAGCATGTTCACCTTCAGGATCCTGAAACATAGGCAGAAATAAAACCAGCTTAATCATCAACAAGAGGACTGGCAACAAGCAAAAAGGCAGTATTTGAAATTCTACATAAACCCATCAAAATTATCAACTAATATCCTTGTCCATGTCAGAGGGATCAAGAACTGAATTAGCATGGAGACCTAATTCCCTCACCTCTAGAGGTGGGTCCTTTCAGATGAGGGTTGAGGCATATTGGCAAAGCACTTGTTGAGGAAGCGTGCACTGCCACTTCACATCCTGTACCTAGCCTATGGACAAGTAGAAAAGATTTCAATCTAAAGGACTGTCAGTCTAGTACCTTCTTTCCAAGACCTGAATTAATGTTATTAGTTTTTTTATTTATTTATTAATACCATTATTAAAGTTGTAACAGCACAGAAAGAACTGCATCAGACACCATCATACACAACACTACAAAAAAAATGCTGACATGAATTTCACTTTCCAGTCAGCACAAGTTCTCTACTCCCAGCCTCATTTTTGCACATGTGGTAGTCTGATACTCAGTCCATTCTGCATCGGATTTTGAAGCAGTTAAGCAATGTAAACACAGAATCATTTATGTTGGAAAAGATCTGATAACACTATGGTAAGAATATGAAGTTAAAGTTCTTTTAAAGAAAAACAGTATTAGTTTATTTTGACTTTAGGGCATAGTCTTTGTCAGTTCTTTTGGCATTGTACCTTCCACAAGTCAGCAGGCACTTTAGCTCATTAAGAAAACATCATATAAAAAAATTAAACTGGAAATTACAAAACTAAGATGCTCAAAACACTGTACTGTCAACACTGTACTGTCATCTCGGTAGTTATGATATCTTCACTATTTCAAATTAAAACCAGCAGAAACAACCATACCTCTTTAATATTCAGGGGTCTTCCACTAAGATCGTATTTGTTCATAGTTTCTAATGCTTTCTTAACAAATTCTTCATCTTTGAATTCAACCACACTTAGAGGGAACAAAACATTTAGAGTATTAGAATAAAGTTTAAAATGTTAAAAGTAACAGAATGTTTAGATAGTAGTGTGTCTCTACACACATAGAAAAAGAAACTTACCCACAACCCTACATCCATCGTGATTTGTCATCATATGTAAGGAAAAAAAAAAAAAAAAAAAGTCAGTCAGCACATGTGATAAGAGCCCTTAAGACTCCAGCTAAAGATCCCACCTCACTGTTAAATAACTATTCATGTCATTTTGAGCTTCAAAATTCATAATGCGTGCTCTTTACTGATAGGCAAGCTGAATTTCTCCTATTTTCTCAACATACATACCTTTCAAATGCACGAGAATATATTATAATTTATTCTCTTTGAGCCAAACCAGAATTGGAAAAATGCCACACAGATCCATGTAAGGACAACCGGGGAGAGGAGGTGGGAGGGGAAAGGGTGGAAAGAGAAAAAAAAAAAGAAACCAGAGCAACCAAAACCCAATCAAGACACTCATCGTGTCATTAAAAGCTGCCCACTGACTACAAAATTCAAACCTACCTACATCAAGTATACCAGTACGATGAACAAGGAGTCTGCATACCTCTTCAGTATTACTAGCATAATTGAGAAATTACTTTGTAAGAAAATAACCTTTTTGACTGCACCAGAATCCTTCTAATAAAGCAAAGAGTTGAGGATTGCTTTAAGTAAACCAAACCTGACAGCATGTTTTAGCTTTAACAAGCATTAAATAAAATAATTTTCAACAATTGATACAACCTCAGTTAAGAATCCAACCTGCACTCCTCATGTTCTCACTGCAGGTTTGGAGCTACTATTGGCCAAACTGTTGACTATTTTTAAGAAGACAAAAGAGCTTTAACAATCTGCACTCTTAGTGCCTCGTTGCTGGCACTCTTGGCTACCAACCATCTCCATCCATTTAGTTTTAAAAAGCAAATAGATTAATCCAGTGTTTAGCATACCGACCCTGCAAAGCTGTCCAATCAGGCACTTCAAACAGTATATTCTTAGCTAACTTTTTATACTCATTGGGCCCGAGAATACTATGCTAACAAAATTTAAATAAAATCAGTGGTTTATTGAACATCCTGTATCTGAAACAGATTGTACCAAAACAAAGATATTGGCTAAAAGGAAGAATAAAGTAAATGCCATTTGTTAACATTTACAGAAGTATTTTGTCCTTTACAGCCAGCTAGTTTGAGCTGTGTGAAAGTGTCAGACTACTTCTAATACAAAATCCTCAAAGCCAGCTTATTGAAAATCAGTGAAAAAATGAAACTTACTTTCCAATAACTGGTACAGGTAGTATACAAAAATAAAACTGCTGAGGAACTTTTAAACCTCTAGCAGATTGTTGCCCACGGCACTTACCCTTGATTTTCCTTCAGCATCCTTAAACAGCTCCACGTATGTAACCTCACCAACTACATAAGACATACAAAGGGAAAATACCAAGAGACAATGCATTTAAACACCAGTATCTTTCTTTACTGTGCCCCTGTGCACAACTCTACAGAGAAGCACCTATTATTCACCAACAATCAAAACCAGACCAACATACCTCCTGTCAATGGCTATGTAATTTAGCTAATTTTCAGAAATATGCAGCAGCCACATTCTCAAAAGCTAAAAACAAACAACTATATTTAACCTAATTCATACTACAGATCATATTTTGGCCAGTATGATGTAGTTGGTGAACAAATTCAGATATACACAGTCCCTTAACCTAACAAATGAAACATCAACGTTCACTGGAAAGTGTTACATTTATCATCCTACTCACAACACCTGTTTTAAGGTGACTTTCTACCTGAATATCTTCAATCATAAGTTTGCCTTCAGTAATAACCAAATTTACACATCAAATATTTCACAGCAAGCCACTCACTTTCTAAAGTAGGAAGTTTCAGTAAATAAACCAATCAAATAGTCACGTCACCTTACAACAGATAAACCAGAAGTTACAGAAGGAGGGTTTTGGCATTTTTCACAGCCTAAAAGCCAAGTGTGCTTTGCATTACTTTTGAAGAATCGATTATTTCAAGGAAAACACAGAACCAACTTTTTACAGAATTCATATATTAGCATTATTTTACCCCAAACTTAAAATGTTTGGGGTAGTAAGATTACTCTATCAGAACTGCAACAAGAGTGACAAGCTTTTAATGCAAATCTCCAGATAAACAGTCATGGCAGTAGTGACAAAGCAGACAAAGTTAATTCCACAGCCAGATTCCACCAAAGAAATACAAAACAACTTTTGAAATACATCCCTTTATTATTCATGTTAACACACTAAATGTGTTGCTTAAATACCATAGCCCTTAAAAAAAATAATCTACAAAGACTACAACTAGACAAAACACAATCTCTTTAAGAAGTCATGAGGTCATGCATGTACTCTCTACTGTCACACCAGAATGGCAGAAGATTGTAAGCACTTCATTTACCCATCCTACCCTGCAATGCAATTGTCTCAGATGGAAGAGGGGGAAGGGAGATAGATGTATCAAGGCCAAACAAAAAAAAAAAAAAAAAAGTCATCAAATCTGTGTGGCTCAAAGGACATGTGTTGTATTCCAGTTCTACCCCTTCTGTGGGAAGTGCATTATAAGGAGTAAGTTACCTTTCTCTCTCATAAGATCTTTAATAGCTTGCCATTTCATGTCATATGGGATGTTGCTAATAAAAACTCTGTTACGATTAATAGTCTTCTTCTCTCCAGTGCCTGCATTCTTCTCCTTTGAATAGGGATGGAATCTATTCTTGTTTCCAAGAGAAGGAATTGCCTTCGGTTTTGCAACGTACTTCTCCTTCACAGGTGCCTTCTCTTCTTTTGCCGTCTCATCACTATCCCTACATTTCAAAAAAACCAAACAAATATTAGTCTTCTGTTGGATCATTAGACTATACCTCCTATATATAAAGTTGTATACTACCTATGCTATTACAACTCCCGGGATGTCATATGCTGCTTTTTCAAATTAGAAAATAAACAAAAGAAATATTTTTTTTAAAAATCATGTTACCAGTCTAATTCCAGAATACATTACTTTATCTAGAACAGAAGGTTCTAGATTATAGAATGAAAGACTTATTCACTACTGTAAGTACAGCAGGCACATCAGTTACATTCCAATTCCATTGTGTCTGTTAAGATTCAGCACGATGGTACTATGAAACTACTACCTATATCAAAATAGAATGACTCAGCTGAAAAAGTAAGCTACAGCACCCATGCTTTAGTGCTTCAATGATTTCCACATCAGACTTAGCTAAGTTACACAATATTCACCACAGAAGTGAGAGCTGAAATGGTCTAACTTAATGGAACAAGGTTGGTATATTTCACTCAATGAGAAAAAAAAAAAGAGATAAAATACCATATATATGGTATAATGTATAATGATAAATAAAAATCAACTGCAATAGGCTGGAATCAAATTACATTTTACTGACCACATATATAATTTTATTCACAATTTATGCCAGACTGCTTTTAGATAGAAATTAAAATTCAATTAAGAACAACAAATGCTCCTTCCCTTTCCTTGCTTAACACTACTTGAATTTCAAAACTTGATAAATGTATAGGAAATAGGTGTATTAAAACATGCTCTGCATCTAGAACTAATTACGTTACCAGGTATTATCCACTAGAAACAACAATAAAAGAGACTTTTTTATTTCATGTGACTATCACAAGGTGATTTAACAGGTAACAGAAGATCAAGGTGCCCGAGTTGTTACTTTAAAACAGGTGAGCCGCTGAATGGAAAAAGAATCAGGGATAAAGCCCCAGAAATGTGATCCACTAAACAGATGCTGCTTACAGCTACACAACAAGGTTTAGTTCAAATCCCAAACTTTAAAGTACTTTTCCTTGCAGTAGTTCTAACCTGAGTGGCTAATGCTGCCTTTTTAAAATAAATGTCCTACAGGACTGTCAAAAAGGAGCGATTGTGAACCCTACTTAAATTACATCCCTATCCTCACAATTTTTCCTACATTTCTGAAGTCTTAGTTTTGATCTCATTTCGAACTTTGGAAGGCTTCTGGTGCAAAATTAGTCAAAGCAAGCATTTCAGTTTTACAACCACAATGTATGGCAAGATCACCGATTTTGATTAATTGAAATTAATATTTTCAGCTTTCTGGATAGTTACTAACAAAACAGTGAGTAAGTGGCAGTCTGGCACCCAAGAGCGCACGCAAGGAGCCTTTCATGAATCTAAATATATTTTCTACTCAAGCACTTTTCAGGGAGGAATGAATTCAAATACATTCATATTTCTCCCATGACTTTTTCCCAAATTTTGAAGTCCTCATATCATATGAAATTCACAGTCCTGGTGTTTACAAGTGGATTAGAAAAGGATTAGCAACTGAGAAATGCATGGACACTTTTCTGGGCTAAGTATTTGTAAAATTTAAAACATTCAAAGTCAACAACACATTATCTGGTCCAAGCATCCTCCAGCTTCCCTCTACATCATCCCTCTTCCACACCACCCTATCCTGTTGCAGCAACATCTTTCTTCTGTGTCTGTGTAATGAAGTGAAATGGAGGGAACAATGCAGGAAACCAGAGAGACATGAGAGAGAGGAGAAGGACAGAGCAGAGTATCAGGTTTTCAGTCAGATCAGTTCCTTCCAATCCAGTCCTGCTAGCAAATACAGAACTACTGCCCAATGAGACCCCTAGTAAAATCTGAGTTCTTCCTTAATTTTAGGATTAGAGCAATGGATTCTCTTTAGCTTTTTAATATCTTTCCTGCTTAAAGGATTACGAAACAGCCCCTGGGTGCTCAGTGTAGTGCACTTGAAGAGCCAGTTCTCCAAATGGGGAATCCACCGGCTCTCCAAGCCAGGAAAGCACAGAGGATAAAGTCTGGCATCAACTCTAAAATCTGAGAAACAAGGAGACACTTCACTTAGTCTGGGACTCACAGCCAGTCTCCTGAAAACAGAGGATTACTTAAAAAAATCCTCCAATCCTTCCTGCAAAACTCCATCTGCCAAAAGCAACACGGGCCGGTGAACAAGCAGGAGGCATAGATCCTTCTGTGGATGTGGCTCTGACCTTCCTCCGTGAGCAGCACAAAACTTCAACCACATACTACACTCAAAGAAATGTCATGTTAGTCACCAGCAGACCACACAAAAGACAGTCTCAGGAACTGTGAACTGACATTTTCTTCGGGGAAAATCAACAGTAATTTCTACTCTAACTTTTTTTATAACTAACCATTCTACACATTTAATTAATATTTGCCTGTGAAATCACTAGCAGATTTCCAGGTTTGAAAAAGAGATGTCTACATTAATGTCTTTTTAAAAAGCATGTCCTCATGGACTGGAAAGGGAAATTTTTACTTTTTGAAAAAAAGTGCCTTTAAACTTCCACAAAGTTTCAGAAACAAAAGACACAGTTTCCACATACAGAACTAGAAGCCAAAACACTGATAAGCACAAGGTAAATAAACACAAAAGCCCTAAAAGCTGGGGTTTTTTAAACAAACGTCTACTCCTCTGCTCAGAAGTGTCCTTACAAATAAGATCAGTAAAGACAGAAGTGGAAGAAGTCCACAACATGTGATTCTAAAGCACATAGTTCGGTTAAGCTTTGTTGTGCTGAACAGTTCCACTGCTCAATACAATAAACTCAGGGAAGCATGCAAGTCGAGGCCAGGACTCCTCTCCAATTTAATCTGAGCACCAAGCAAGCCTGGTTACTGAAATACTTTAAGTAGTACTTTTCACCTGCACACTGATAGTTTAATCCTTTGTACACGTGTTTTGGGGAAGACTGAAAAATGTACGTGAAAGAATAAGATTTTAAATTCTGTAACTAAGAACTTAGCATTATTTTCAAAATTAAAGTTGTGATTAAAGTCACAGAATGACTTGGAATTTTCATTTTGGTGTAATTAGTTTTTGTGGGAAAGGAAAAAAACTGCTGACAGAAGTTACACAGAGAAATTAAGTCATTATTTTAACAGTAACAACCTCAAAAAGTAATATAATGTTATATGTCTAAAAGGAGAAAGTGTCACAATCTTCCTGTGAAGATTCAATCACAATTCATGTAGCTTAGAAACTGAGGGCCAAGCTCAGGAAAAGAAAAAAAAAAGCAAGCAGGTTTTATGATGTGAAATTTACAACTTGTAAACTATTTGAATTTCACAGGACCTTAATTAAAGGCATGAAGTATGCCTTTATTCCTCCAGCCACATAGTGAAATTGATCCCATTTGCATTTTCAAAACAGAACAGTATCAGATCCGGGCTGCTTACATGTCAAAACTTCACAGATCTCAACAGCTTTGATGTACTGCAACAGTAACTCTACTAAAAATGTATTTTCCTTTTAAGATATCAATGAGATGAGAAGAGATACTGAAATTCCAATGCTATGAGGCCAAAATCTAGTTCATGTAAAGAATGATGACCCTGGGAGCCTGACATCAAGAACTACTAAACCCCCAGGTTATTCAGGTTATTGTTCTAGAGATCTGGTACTTCCAGCTCCTTATACTATATTCCTTTCAGATCTACCATAGAAGGTACAGTTTACATCTCCCATATATTATAATGCTGCTAAACCACAAAAAGTTTGTACATGAATGTGAAAATTTGTGAATGGGGAGCGGGTTGTTTTTAAAAAGTAAATCACTATGGAGCCGTCTTACCACTCCCACATAAACAAAAACTAGTTCAAAGGCTTTACAAAGCACACCACTACGGTGGATGCGGACACGTAACCAAAACCAGAGACGCTCCAGAACACTCCTGGAAACGGACCCTGAGCTCACACCGGCGGAGCGGCCAGAGCCCAAGCCAGAGCCCGGCCCCCGCTGCGGCTTCGCAGC